TTGAGACAAAAGTACTAAAAGCCTCTTTTGAGTGAATTAATTTATTCTACAAATAAAATTTAAAGGTAATGCATTCCAACTGACTTTTGAAAATGCTTATAATTTATTAAAAAATTATTTTGCAATTATCATATTATTGACTGAAATATATTTATAATTAAGCAGGATTTTACAAAAATAATCACGAATTCAAACTGTGAAATTAGTCATTATTTCGAGGAAATCAAACTGTTCTTCTTCAACACTGCAATAAATTAATAAATTAATTGATAATTTAAAATAAGACTAAAATTTTGTAATATTTCATGAAGACACGAATCAGCTGTTTGCTTGTTGTTTACAATCACTCAGCTAATAATTTGCTTGTTCACTTAAAATTTGTTTCTGAATTAGTGAACAAAAAGCTAATACTTTTTTGTACAATACTTGAGTTTTTTTAATTACTTTAAAAACATTTTTTATTCAAACTTTTACTGACTTTATAATTTGGTTTGGTAAGCTTAGATGAAAATTTGCTTAGCATATATATTTAGGTGACATTCGAGGAATGCTTTCGACCAGTTCAAATAATTTCACCCAAAACTAAAAAATGTTCTACAGAAACGATCGCATCTCAGTTTGACAACAACGACGACAGCCAGACACATTCAGTTAATTTGCAAGCTACTGGAAGGTTCGCTTTCACTAATTAATGTGAAAACAACAGAATTTATGTTTTATGCAAAATTTAAGCTTTGAAATGTTTTGCTAAGGAAATACAAGATTTGCATAAAAACAATATTGAAATTGGATGAACTAAGAAATTGTGCAAAAATTGTATATTAAATGTAAAAGCATAAATTGGTAAAGTTGTAAATCTTTGCGCGCCTTTTCAAAGGCAAAAAAAAAGTTTTTACTATGCATAAAATGCATTGAAATGAAACACTTTTTTTTGTTCTACCTACATATTTAATGCTTAGAAATGCTAAAATTTTTTGCTGCTTTTGATCAAAAATAATCATTTTTGATCAGAAATCGCTTACCAAAAGGAAAATATTCTTTTACTGATTGAATAATTGATACTTTTTTTAAATCACAAAAGTTTAAGTCACATTGATGTTCAAGCACATCTGAGTACCAGCGAATTGGTCGTACGATAGATTTTCTGCTCAAATAAACATTTATTTGCAATTCAAATTTGATACCAATTTTTTATCTAAATAATTTTCTCATCCATATCTTTTTTTCCATATTCAATTTATGAAAATATGTCATTCATAAAAGTCAACAAATTTTAAATTAATTAAATGGCAGATTTGTCCTAATCAGATATTTTAATCATATACGCTGTAAAATTTCAAAAAAATTGCATCAGTCGGTTTCAATAAGCAAAAAACGAAAAAGAATGTAGTGAATTTTTTAGTTTATTTGCAAACAGTTTTGGGGGCAATTCAGTATTTTTCATTAATTTGGAACTCTTTAACAATATATATATAATATAGCAACAAACATAACTAACTACCTTGAATTATTATAGCGCTATTTTACTGCATAAATAAACAATTCTAATATTTAGTCATTAAAAAACTTAATACAAACTCTATTGTGTTTGTATTAAGTTTTTTAATAAAGTAGTCAAAAAATAGCTGTAAGATATCGTATTATATCAATGATATTAAAATAAAATATAATCAATGCTATTAGTTGTCAATAGTATTTTACTTTCAATAACTTTGTTTTTAAATTTAATTTTTGCTAAAAAAAAGCAGTCGTAGCCATATGTGTAGGCTTATATTCTGCTCATTGCATAAATATGCAAATTTTACTTTTCATTAAAAGTTGTATAGTTTTTATTGAAATTAGTTGCAACAAATTTGCATATTCTGTAGCAGTGTTGGCAGCAGTGAAATCCATTCACTTTCGAATAAATTATTTGGTGCTATCAGACGAGAGCTTAGTGATACAGCAAATATGGATATGGACCATCTCTTGCAGCGAACAATGTTTGTCCCAACCGATTCAGATTTTACGGCAAATCGAATTTTACAACGAGTACCTATGAATCTTATGAATGGATCTTCACCTGTGCTCACAGCAAGTAATCCCACAGGTTATTTTTTGTGCTTTTTGTGCTTTTGAAAGGAAATTTTGAGAAAAAGTAGTATTAATGTGCCTCAATAATTCACAAATAAAATTCAGTCAACTTTTGTATTAATTCGACATTGTAACTTACTTGTAGTCAGATTTATTTTAGAAAAATATCATGAATTTTTTTTCTTGATAGTTATTTTTTTGATACTGATTTTATATTTTACTAGTTCATCTCTAATGAGAATATATGGCAAATGTTGAGACGAAAGTTGAGCAAATTAATTATGTTGAAAGAAATATCAAAAAGGTCAAAGGCAATAGCACTTTAATCAGCAAATTATAAAACTATAACACAATGAAATCTGATGTTAGAGATAAAGTCAAATGCATTTTAATGTTTTTCTTGTGACTTCTATGAACAAGCATACAGTTTTATGCCGCTTTTAGTTTGTATGGCAAAAATCGGACTAGCAATGCCTTTAAATTGTGATAGTAACTTAACTTGTTATGATAGTTTACTTAACTGGCATTTAAAGACGTTATACTTCGATGAATTGTGAATTATTTTATTAAAAAAATACAATAAAAGTATCTGATATTATACAAAAAAGCTACAACAAAGTGTTATTATTATTGTTATTATGGCTTGATTTGCAATTTGAGAAGAAACATTTGAATGAAAAGATGATAATTTTTAAAATTCAATAATTTGTTAAAGTTTAATCTTTTTAGCGTGTCTATATTTTTCTTAAAACAATAGCATTGCGTGTGCTTTCAAGTGATCTGGATTGAAATTATGAAAACAATTTGTATAGTTTTCGTTTAACTTTCTATTTAGTCCCATTCAAAGCACAGAAATTAATCTTTTTGCTATTCTAACTAACGTTTCCAACCCTTACTGTAATCTACGTTGTTATTAAGAAGAATGTTCTCTATGACTAGCAAGTTGTTAATATTTTACTTTAAAATAAAGTTATTAAAATCGATCATAATTGTTATTGATATTTATTTGTAATGTTGAGTGTTCAATCTGTGAAAATTTTCAGAAGATTTACCTGGTTCTTCTTCGTCATCTACTTCAGTCTTCACAGCTACAACATTGACAGCTCGAAATAGTTCCAAAACTTTGAAATGTCCAAAGTGTAACTGGCATTATAAGTACCAAGAAACATTAGAAATACACATGAAAGAAAAACATGCGGGTCATGAGGTTATTTTAATAATTTGCCAAATTTTTATTTAAATTTATTAGCATCAATCATTTATTAATAATCCAATAATTCCTTTGTGCTTTTGAAAGTAATGCAAATTTTTTGAACTATATGGATATATCATTTCAGCATTGTTTTTAGGTTAGGTGTATCTTTTGCTTGCATAATCGTCCGCACCCACGATTAGCACGTGGTGAAAGTTATTCATGTGGATATAAACCTTATCGTTGTGAGATATGCAAATACAGTACGACAACAAAGGGTAATTTAAGTATTCACATGCAAAGTGACAAGCATTTGCATGCAGTCCAAGAAATGCCACCTTCCGTTACAAGTAAAAATTTGACTCATTTCAGAGCCAATTAATACTAATAATTAATTCTTCCTATTTACTGAAAATTACCAAACGTTTCCGGTTATTTTTACATCATTACAAGCTGAAATTAAATGAAAAATTTCGTGATCGTTGTAAAGAAGTTCTGAAAATTTTTTTGTTATAAAATGTGCTTTAATTCCAATTAATTAATCGAATTCTATAACTGATGAATATTTATTGAGGTGATACAGTGATAGCTTCAAATGATGACTTGAATACTGAAAATTTGCTTCAATGTATGATCTGTTCCACCTATTCAACAGATAGCATTTCTAAAATGATCGAGCATATTGGTAAGTGCTTTAAGTAAGTTGCTAATTAATTTCCAAGCCATTCAAAAAAAAAACTTTCTTACCATTTCGAATTAAATTTATATTTTCAAAAAAATTTTACATTCTTTTAAGTTTCATCAAATTCGAAATGAATAATAAAATTTCGGTTTTCAATAAAGAATAGTGCAAGACTTAAGAAAAAAAAAGTGAAGTGATTATTATTTTTTGTATAATTTCTATGGTAAATGCGAAATAATCAGTTTTTTACTTAAAGATTGCATACTGAAATTGTTTCTTTTTCAGATAGCAAATTACAACTTTTTATAAAATAAAAAATAAATAAATTTTTTTATTTTAAGAAAAGGATCGAAATCATCCATTTATGGGTGATATCTCAGTGATTCGTGGTGTATATCAATGCAATCTTTGCCCATACAGTACAAGTTTGAAGGCAAATTTTCAGTTGCATACAAGAACTGATAAACACGTACAACGTACTCAAATGGTTAGTTCTCAATTTTTTCGAATTTAATATTTGAAATTGAGAAAATAGAATGAAAAAGTCGGTCTAAAAGCAAAAAAAAATAAGACAGTTACAAAATAGGTTTGGTTACAAAAGTAATTCTTACAGGGTAACGAGAGAAAATTTTGCAGAGCTTCTGCAGTATTACTGAAATATTTTGCTTAAATTACTAATCTGGAAGAAAATTTTTGCTTTAAATTACTTTTGAAAGGAAAAAACTGATTTTATTTGTGAATTCCTTGAATATTATAATTCTTTCACTCAGTCTTAATGGCGACAAAGTAGAACTCTAGATATGCTACCGAAGCTTTGGTTTTACTACTTATTATTATTATTATTATTATTATCATTATTATTATGAGAAAAAAACCTATAATAATAACGATACCAATTATGTAATTATGAATTTTTATTCAAGCTTCAATACAATCGAAAGTATTAATATCTTTTTTTTTTGTAAATTTTAATGTTTGGAGAGAAAAGTAGCAATCTGTGAAATTATAAACAAGATTCTTGCAAACATTATTATATTTGCATAACATTGGTATTAGCTGTACAGCGAAAAGAATTCTAGTAATTAAGAATGATTGAAAAAATGAATTTTTAAGAAAATGAGCAAACAGAACGAAGTAATGTTGTCTTGAATAATTGAGTAACGAAAATAAAGTTCTTCAACTTTTGAGAAATATAATATTTGCAAATTAAGTCAAGCAGAGGTACAGTAGTAGTTAGCACGAAATTCTCAACATATTAAGTAAGCTTTTTACATATTGACTCATACGATAGAACTTGCTATTATGGAAAAAGCAGAGTGCTGAGCAAAATTTAATTAAATTGCTTGGTGATAAGTTCTTGAACAAGTAAGTTCCTAATTTTCGGCCTCAAGAAAAGAAGATCAAAATTATTACTTTTTTATTTTGCATTCACAAAGTTGGAAAAAAATGCATTGCACAGATTCTTTTTTTTTTTTTTTTTTTGCAAAATTTGATTCAAATCTAAATTTGTCAACATTTGACAGAATTGTCGCTTCATTTAAGCAAATTTCTAGTAAATGATTAATGAAATTAATACTAAAGTAAACAGTGATGTTAGAATTTCGTTTGTGCAAACTTGTTTTGCTTCTCACAGCAGAAAAAATCAAACTTTTGGTAACAGCAGTAATGAGATGAGATTGCATAGATTTCAGGCCAGTTCTTGAATGACCACATTCGTTTTACATTGAACTGAGTAAGAGTAAAATTTAAGACAATTTGTAAGAAGTAATACTTAAATTTGGGTATAATTTCAAATAAAACAACATAAAGTATAACGAGTAAAGTATTGCCTTATGCGCATATTTTTGTAAATTAGGCATGAATTGGACTGAAGATGTAGTATTAAAAATCTATTTTTTCCTTTTCTTCGCGTAAGTATTAACTCATACTTGAAAACAAGTGTTCATTTTAGTGTTTTTTGAATATTTTATCATGTGCAAACTAATTAATTAATTAATTAATTAATTATCTATTTGTCGCATGATTAATTAATTATCTATTTAAAAATCTATTAATTGTTATATCGGAGGATAAAAATGAATAAATTAATAAGGTAAGTAAAGTAAGTAAGAATTTTTATTAATAGTAAACAACAAGAAGAAAACATTGATTGCAATCAGTTTGAAGAGTCAATGTTTACTTTTCGCAAACATTCAAAATATTATTAATGAATTGATTAATCAATGTTTTCTGAATCTTGCGAAAACAATTCATTTTCAAGAACTTTTTGATTCTTTTAAAACCCAGTTGACTAAACTTTATATGACTTTTCACGTGAACAAATCACATAGTTTTAACTAATTTCTAACATTAAATAACAATAATAATAATAATAAAAGAGGTAAAACTAATGGATTTAATTTTAATTAATATTTAATATTACTTAACATGAAGAGATAGTATAAATAAGATATACGTTAGTAGATGAATAGATAAACAGATAGATAGATGGATAGATAGGTAGATAGGTAGGTAGGTAGATAGGTAGGTAGGTAGGTAGGTAGGTAGGTAGGTAGATGGATGAATGGATGGATATATGCAAGCGGGTACACATATTCTCCCGCATAGAATATCACTTCAAAATGTTGACATTAAGAATGAATGAATAGGCATTATTGTCAATTGGTATTGGCATTGGCATTGGTATTGTCAGTGTTATTTCTTAGATTGGCACCACATTGAGGTGAAGTACAAATAAATCTAACAGAGATAACGCTGTATTTACTCAAATATTCCTAAATGACATTCAAATTTTTACAAAAAATTTTTTAGCTAAATATTGAAAACGTTTAATAGTGACAAAATGTAATTTTTTTCTCAGCCAAGTCGAAGTATATCAAAAAGTGGCAATTTCTTGTGCTAGTTACTTTCATTTTCGGACTAATCTTGCAATTATTTGATTTTAATACTACAAGTTATACACTTATAAATTGTACAAAAGCCACATTCAAACTTATTTATCACTATTAGAAATTGGCAGATTATTTTGTGCGTATCAGTGTCTTCTGTCTCTGATTGAACCAACAATTCAGCTTATACAACATAACAACTGTTGTAATCAAAAGGTTGAAATAAACTGTTATTTATTTACAAATCAGTCAATACTTTTGATCAAATACATACATGCTTTTTTAAGTGTATATCACTTAATACTTTTTCTTTTGCTAAATTGTTGCCCAAAGAGTTACAAAAGTAAATTGTTACACTTGCTGTTGCATTAAATTCGTTCTTCTATCGTTGTCGTTATTGCTGGAGAAAATTACCGTCTCTTTTGATTTTTCTCACTTATTCACTCATATGTCATATTTAACAGATTAATTTTAATTTTTCCACCTCTCGGAAAGCATTATTAAACATGAATATGTCAGGCACTGCAAATTTCTCTTCTTTGCATGCGATTATATTGATGGCATAAGCATAAAAAGCAGAATTGCTTTTTGAAAATAGTCTTAGCCTTTTGTAAGTTAATTTTACGATTACTTTACTTTTTTCAACTATAATAATAATAACTTTTGTTAGCATTCATTTCAGACATATTTCTTACTAAAATTTATTTGATTTTTAACCTTTCTTCTACTTCATACTAATTCTACGGACGTTAAATGCTATTATCATATGCTATTTAATGTTTTTTGCTGTAAGTCTTTTTCAAAAGTTTAACACTTATTGCAATAATAAAGTGTGAACAAATAATAAGTGCACGTATGAATTTACACGTGCACTTACTTAAGCATAAATTTTTATGATAACATATATGCATGCATTATATAATGTAATGTCATGCAGCAAAACAAACATACTGAAATGCACAGATTTGCATCCATTTAAACAAATAAAAATATTCATTTTCACACATTTTTCGCAAATTTTATAGGTGAATTAATTGTAGGCAAGAAGGAATATGCATGTATTCACATATACAAACATACACGCACACACGCACACACACACACACGCACACACGCACACACGCACACACACAGACACACAGAAAGAAATGCACGCACGTATTTACTTGTACGAAAGAGAGCCCAAAATTTAACTCCAACAATCACTGTGTACAATTTGAGTCGATACTGCTTAATTTACCTAACAACAATTTGTTGCCAACGTTTACTTTCATCGAATTTTCAATCTATTTGTTATTTATTAGTTATAATATGAAGTAGTAATTTGCTTTGTTGTGCACTTTTTCTCTTAATTCATTATTGTCTTACTTTGGTATTTGCTAATTGCAATAATTATTTCATTTCTGATAGCATTATTGGCAAATAAATATATATTTGTATTAATATCAGTAAAATATTATAAATGTAACTTGCAAACGTATTTATAAGATAGTGATGCGGAGAGAAATTCAAGGTAATAAATATGCGATTATTTTTTAATGAAAAATTTTAAATTTATGCAAAAAAAGAAAATAGTATGAGCGATTAGACCAAATCAGATAAGATCAAAATTGTTTAATTTTGCAAAAAGAAATTAAAAATAAATTTTAATTCATTTTCGCTAATTTATTTTTGAATTGAGATTGCATTAACACTTTTGTATTCTTATATATAATAAATATTCTACGTTTCATAATGAAATCTGTAGTGATTTATTAAATTAATTTTTAGTTTCTCAGAATTATTTTGCTGAAACTATGACGGCCTTGAAACTTCCGTAATTTTTTTCATCTCGCAATCAAATAATATGGTTTTTTGGTTTATTAATTTCTTAGGATGAGCTGTTGATGACATTGTAATATCCATCGTTGTCCCCCTCGAAGAATGTGAGAATAAATTCGTATTCCCACATTTTCAGCAAAAAAAAAGTGCATAAATAAATATTCTCTTTTTTTTCGAACAATTAATTTTTTAGAAGCTTTCGTGGAAATAAAAGCTTAAATTTATCAAAAATTTCGCATAAAATTTTTCAACTTTTTTCTTGCACGAAAAATAATTATTTACTTGAAAATTAAATACCAAATCATAAAGTAACACTGCTGGATAGTTTAATTTCGATTCGCGAAATTTCCTTGATTATATGCAAATTTTTGCTTTGTTCTCTCCAAAACTCTTTCAAAAAAATATAATTTATTTGTACTTTTTCTCATATATATTATTCAAAGTTTTTATTTCGAATTTTCAGTCACTGACCTATTTTTAAAGCATTTAATTACTCCTTACTTTTTGGTAATTAATTTATAGTAATTATCATTTTTTGATTTATTCCATCGATTTGATGATTTGATTTTTATGGAGTGAAAAATTTTTAAACTCATGTATAATCATTGCTAGTTGTGGAGTTAAAGTGTATGTCGTTAAAAGCAACTATAAATTGAATTTAACTAAAAACGATAGGTTTTTAAAAAAGTTTGTCCTATAGTGTAATAATTTAGAGATTCATAAGAATTTTAAACTTTATATAACCTTCGACACCCAACTAAGCTGCAGTTGAAACTAGATATTCGAAAATTGATCCCTTAAAATT